CCATGTTGACCAGGATGGTCTCGATCTCTTGACCTCGTGATCCACCCGCCTCGGCCTCCCAAAGTGCTGGGATTACAGGCTTGAGCCACCGCGCCCAGCCCCCATCTCCCTTTTATCCATCGCAGAGGGTTCTGAGGTGCCTCTGTAAACCCCTATAGAGTCAAAAGATAAGAACTGAAAAGCCATAGCCATGGTCCCACCAATTCAATTTGTGTACAGATTGGGAAACTGAGGCCTAGAGAAGTCAAGGCACTTTCCCAGGCTATACTGCAGGTCAGAGACTAAGTCGGAATAGAATTGAGGTTTCCTGTACAGTGGGTCCCAATCTACAGGGCCTAGTGCCTCCGTGTTTGGTCGTCAGTGGAGCAGGGTCAGGGGACCAATTTCCTGGGCAGTGCCATCCCATTCCCTCCAGGCAGGCTGTAATGAGTTGAATAGGGTCTCCCCCAAACTTATGTCCACCTGGAACTCCAGAATGTGAGCTAATTTGTAAATGTGGTCTTTGCAGCTGAAATTAGTTAGGATGAGATCATAATGGATTCAGGTGGGCCCTAAATCCAATGACAAGTGCTCTCCTCTTCCTATAAGGAAGACAGACACAGAGAGAAGGCCATGCACAGACAGAAGCAGAGCCTGGAGTGGTACAGCTATCAGCCAAGGATGCCTGGAGCCACCAGAGGCTGGGAGACGCACAGAAGGATTTTTCCCTGGGGCCTCTGGAGGGAGCTGGCTCTCCCAGCACCTTGATTTCCTTTTATTAATTTTTTTTTTTTGAAACAGTCTTGCTCTGTCACCCAGGCTGAAGTGTAGTAGCACAATGTCGGCTCACTGCTACCTCTACCACCTGGGTTCAAGCAATTCTCCTGCCTCAGCCTCCTGAGTAGCTGGGATTACAGGCACGTGCTACCACACCCAGCTAATTTTTTATTTTTAGTAGAGATGGGGTTTCACCATGTTGGTCAGGCTGGTCTCAAACTCCTGACCTCATAATCTGCCCGCTTCAGCCTCCCAAAGTGCTGGATTACAGGCGTGAACGACCATGCCCAGCCAACACCTTGATTTTCGATTTCTGGTCTTCAGAACTGCGACAGAATACATTTCTGTTGTATTCCAGTTTGTGGGAATTTGTTGGGGCTGCCCCAGAAAAAGAACACCCAGACTCACCTTGTAGTCATAGCCGGCACTGAAGAGGATATTGGCGGCCGTGGGGTGCCACTCCACCAGGCCCACTCTGCGCACGTGGCCCACGAGCTCCTTCTTGCAGGTCGTGAGGTTTCTAGTCAGTAGCTGGTTGGGGATGCTCCAGATCTTAATCTGGCAAGGGAGACATGGCCCAAGGGAGCATTAGCCAGGGCACATTGGCACCGTCACCAGCCTAAGCCACAGATCTGGCAGTGACCAGCGGAAGGTCCGAGGGAGTGCTCTCCGTGGCCCCCTCCCACTCAGTGGCCATGGGCACTGAGGGGCAATGGAGGGGCAGCTGAGGGTCCTCAGAGGGACAGGGGTTTCGCCAAGCTCCTCCAGCCTGAGCAGGGGCCAGTGCTGACCAGAGATGAGTCTAAGCCTCCAAATCTGCCCTCTAGGGATCTCGGTCATCCTGCTGGCCTGAGGTGGTGGGCAGGTGGCTGGGTTGCAGGCCTGTCTCCTAGGCTATCTCCCAGAGTACACTGATCTATACACTTCTTGTCCCAAAGGGCCATGGTGGAGTCTCAAATGCCAGGATGAAGGGTCTAGGCTGCATCTTCAGAGTACTAGGGAGCTAGTGAAGTCTCTAGAGCAGGGCAGAGACAAACTTCTTGCTCCGGAGGTACACTCTGGATAGCCTACAAGAGGAAACTCTGAAGACCAGGAGGCTGGGCTGGATGGGTCACAGGCCTGTGCCTGGAGCCTGAGAAGAGAGACTGGGACTTCCTTCCAGGGTGGTGCCTGCAGATGGAAGGGGCGGCCATGGCAGAGAGCTCCCTGTCACGGAGGTATACAAATGGAAGTATAAGACAAGCCTGGGATGGTGCTGACTTGACCTTCCTTGTTGTTCCTGCAAGGTTCTCTGGCCCTTGGTTGATTGTATGCACTGTTTCCCTTGGAGGTATACAGGTTTTTCAAGTAGATAACTTTGCTTTCAATTCAGCAAATATTTATTTCCTGGTCATCTTGGATTTAAAACCAGGAAGCCAACCCCATGACAGCAGTGCCAGACTCCAGAAACTTTGGGCTGGTGAGGGTTGCCACTGTATAGAACACCAGCAGGAGGACGCATTCCAAACAGGTGTGTTTGGAAATGAAGGTACCGCCCCAGCACTGAAGCAGAGAAGACTCCCCAGTGCTGGAGGAGCCACCGTGACCTCCAGGTCCTGAAGGCAGGGAGGAACAGGACTGAATTCACTCCATAAATTCACTGTGGGCATAGCTTCAGGGAGAAAAGGAACTGCCACCCCTACCCCCCAATAGTCATGTCCTGCCCTGGGGCATCAGGGAAGGGATAGTGGCGGGCAATGAGGCTATTAAGAGATTTAATAACGATCTTGAAGGCAGCCTTCAAAACAGGCCTGGAAAGGCAAGTATTACAAAAGTGAGGACTGTTTCAGATATTTGATATCCTGCCAGAGGCCCTACACTCCCTGGAGACGGGGCCAATTCTCACAGGACCTGACTGCCCTTTGGTGAAATCACCTCGGCAGACATTGTCCTTACGTTCCTCAGCATTTGCTGTATGGAAACCAACACAAATCCTCTTCGAATTTTCTGCCTGCCTTTCCAGATGAACTGGTCTGCTTCCTTTGATCTAACTGAAGGTTTTGCAATACACTTTATTGCCCATTTTGCCTTGGCTGCCAGGTAGCTCTGAGCTAAACTAAGAACTTGGCTGCTGCAACCCTCCATAGCCATCATTTCTAGTATTTCTTCACTTTCTCCATCTGTGGCTGCTGCTCTTTAAAGACGTGGCATAGCACAGTGGAAAGAGAATGGGCTCTGGATCAGGCCTCAGTCTGAAGCCTGGCTCTGACTCCCACAGGCTGTGTAGTATTGGGGAAATTGCTGTACCTCTCTGATCCTCAGCTTCTCCATCAGAAAAATATCCTACCTTGTGGGGTTGCTAGGAAGATTGTGAAATGGGACAGTTAGGAATGTGGTGGGCTCACAATAAATGGTGACAATGACTTTTACCTTTATTTTAATCATCTGATCATATCCGTGTTTTAAATTTTTTTAGTAGAGACAGGGTCTTACTGTTTCCCAGGCTGGTCTCCAACTTCTGGCCTCAAGCAATCCTCCCACCTCAGCCTCCCAGTGCTGGGGTTACAGGTGTGAGCCACTGAACCTGGCATATCTATGGTTTTTGTCTTAAGTAATAGCCACCATATTTTAGAAGTGGGTACAAAGTGAATTATAAATAGGTAACACTGAACATTGTTGGGGCAGGAATACAACTCTGGTATAGAACAGAGCTCAAAAAAGTGAGTGAGACTGAAGCTGCTGGAATGGTTGTAGTGTCCACATTCATCTAAGGCCATGACAGCCTTTAACAGCTCACTTCCTCACTGTGGGATTAAGTGGAACATCTTTTCTGATCACCATAAAAGTGTCCCTTGTAGCATTTTATAGTCCCCCAAAGACTGGGCTTTCCCATTGGAATATACGTTTTCACTGGGATTTATTAGCTGGATGGAGCTATTAATGTCCATTTTACAGGTGAGAAACTGAGGCCTATAGAGAGGAGGGGTGGTGCCCCTAGTCCTACAGCACCCAGAATGTTTCCTCCTCTGCCTAATTTAACACCACCCCACACAGTGACCTCACCTCTGCGATGGAGTCAGGGGCACCAGAGAGCCAAGAACAGGTACCGTCCACCCCAGCCAGCCAATCCCACCCTTCAGGAAGGGGAAGGCCTTCGGGCTGACACTCACTGTAGCATCTTCAGAACAGGAGGCGATCTCAAAATCATCAAAAGGGTTCCACTTGACATCCAAGACGTTCCCTCTGTGCCCGCAGACCTTTGGGTAGTGGGGGTCCAACTTTCCTGTCTGCAAGACAGTGCCCAGGAGGGTTGGGGAGGGGTAGATTCAACATTAGCGTCTGGACAGTCACGTAGTCAGTCAGCAGGAACATGTGAGGGACAGAGCTGGGTGTGAATCTAGGCCTTACTTTTTATTCCCTATGTGATCCTGTGGGAGTTACTTCACTTCTCTGAGCTCTGGTGTCCTCAGTGAAATAGAGCAGTCACAGGTGTTTCACAGGTAGGTGTGAGGGTCATGGGACGGGAGGTGTGGTACAGTGCCTGGCATATGGCAGATGTTTGGTAAACAGGCATTCCCCTCATATGCTGCTGGGGGGCATGTAAAATGAAAATGGTGTAGCTCTTTTGGAAAACAGTCTGGCAGTTCCTCAAAAGGTTGAACGGCTCCCACACAACCCGGCAATTCCACTCCGAGGTCTGTCCCCACGAAAAATGAAAAGATAGGTCTACGAGAAACTGGTTCACCAATATTCACAACAATATTCTTCATAATGTCAAAAAGTGGGAACAACCCAAGTGCCCCTCCAGTGAAGAATGGATATACAAAATGCAGCATATTCATGCAGTGGGACACTGCCGTCTCCAGAAAGGAATGAACACTGGTCCGTGCTATAGCACGGACGAACCTGAAAACACTAGAAGCAGCAGCCAGGCACCAAAGGCCACACGTGGTGTGATTCCACTTAGATGATGTTCAGATGTGGTTTCACTGCTTGAGCACATCCCCCTGGCACCTGGTATCTGGAACCCAAGTAATGCATATGAAAAATCCAGAACAATACTTTCATGGAGACAGAAAGCAGAGTCGGGCTGCCTAGGGCTTGGGATAAGGGGCAATAGGGAGTGGCTGCTAATGGGTGTGGGGTGTCTTCTTGGAGTGATAACATTATTTTGAAATTAGGTAGTGGTGACAGTTTATTCACAGTATTCACAACCTTGTTGTATACTCACAATCTTGTGAATATACTAAGATCCGCTGAGCTATACACTTTAAAATGGTGAATTTTCCAACTTGGAAAATATGACAAAACCCTGTCTCTTCAAAAAAATCAAAAAATGAGGCCCGGCTCAGTGGCTCATGCCTGTAATCCCAGCACTTTGGGAGGCCAAGGTGGGTGGATCACCTGAGGTCAGGAGTTTGAGACCAGCCTGGTCAACATGGTGAAACCCCATCTCTACTAGAAATACAAAATTAGGTGGGTATGGTGGCACATGCCCATAATCCCAGCTACTTGGGAGGCTGAAGCAGGAGAATCACTTGAACCCAGAGGGCAAAGATTGTGGTGAGCTAAGATCATGCCTCTGCATTCCAGCCTGGGCAATAGAGTGAGACTCTGTATCAAA